CCGGCCCATAAGGGCTCCCTCCGAAATTCAGCCTGTGCTCTGACCCTGAGCCTCCCAGGTGGGTTGCCCCATGTGGACCCTGGCCCTCTCTGAGGCTTCCAGGCCCCCCAACCCCAGGCTCCTTTCCCAAGCCAGCTGAGGTTTCGAGCCCCCCTTGCACGTCAGCCACTTCGTCGACCCCATAACCCCCAGCTCCCTATGCCATCCCTGCAGTGGCCTCGTCAAACCCTCCCTCCAGGCGGCTGACCTCTCCTGGGCCTCCCTCCTCACCCTCTCCGCACGCCCTCCCCTCACAAATGAGAAGGGCCCATGCCCAGCCCTGCCCACCTCCCCAGGGATTTCCCTTTACTGGGTCTCCCACTCCGAGGGTCCCACCTCCCCGAAGGTACATGTGCCCAGGTCTTCCCCAGGTACAAAGTAACACACTCACACACACACACACACAAACGAGGGTGCAGCAAAAGCACTCCCCCACCCCCACCCCTAGGCCAAGTTCCAGTTGCTGGTTTCCCCTTCCACTCACAGCCAAGCTTGGGAAGAGCTGCCTAAATGTGCCCGTCCCCCAGCTCTTGGTCACCCGCTTACCAACTTCCACCTCCACCATCCTGTGGAGTGGTTCTCTCCAAGGCCGCCCTGACTTCCAGGAAACATTTCCCTTCCGTATGGCATCTGACCCCCCTGGGCCATCTGGTCTGAGGCTGCTGTCCCCTCCTTCTGGAACATGCTCTTACTCAGCTGTCTTGCTGCCTGCGGTCTCTTTTACTCGGCCAAGGGTTGTACACCGTCCCCTGCCACTCTCCTCAGTGACGGTGGCTGATCTAAAGGTCCCTTTGCCCGGCCTACTGGGGCCGAAGCAAACTCCGAGGCCTGGTTTCCCCTCTGGTCGCCCACCACCTCCCTGAGCTCTGGCCAGACCTGCGGTTTCCACCCTCCCATGCCCACCAGGCTCACTCCTTCGTGCTCCACGCTTTCCCTGACCTTCAGGTTGGGTGAGGCACTCCTCACTGTCCTCCTCTAGTTCTTGTCCTTCCTCCCCAAAGCACCCATCTCCGTGAACTGTCACTGTCACTCGTGCCATCTCCCGGACACAGGGCTGGGCCTGACTGTTCGGCCCAGAGTAGGTCGAGGGAACATTTGCCAGCCAAGCAACCAAAGGAAACTGCGCTTCAGGCCGCCGCCCGGGAGCATCTGTGAACGGAGCTTGGGGGAGGGGGTCTCACCCATTCTTCTTGGGCAAATAGGCCTCCATATCGAAGAAGAGGCCTTGGCGCTCCTTGATCTGGTTCTCCAGTTCCCGTGCAGCCTCCTCAGCCTCCGACTGAAGGGAGGGTTTGCATCTGCAGGTAGACAGAAGCCAGAGTCAGGGCAGGGAGCCCCCAGGTATCACCAGCCGACACCCGTGGGGCAGGAGGGTCAACAGGACCCAGCGAGGGGAGACGCCACGCCTGGGACACTCAGGAGTCAATGCCAGCTCTCCCCCCAACCCAGATCTGACGCCCACTCCCCAGCCCTAGGCCAGGGCGGTACGGGAGGCATGGGGGACTATGGAAGCGGCGGGGGAGGGTCCTAACTTCTTCAGGACAAGAGCCAGCTCCTGGAGCCGCTTCTTCTGCCGAGTGATAGAGCTGGTACAACTGTTCTGCAGCTTGATCAGCTCCTCCAGCTTCAGGCGGTACAGCCGGTGGGTCTCCTGGGGAGCAGGCAGGGGAAGGCTCAGGCTGGTTAGAAGGCCCCTGAGCCAGCGCCTGCTGGACAGGGCTTGGGGCAGAGACGCCCCAGGGGCTCCTCTGGAGGGTCTGAGAAAGAAAGGAGACAGCCGGCCCAAGGACCTCCCTGAGGTTGCCCTCTCCCCAAGGCAGGCAAGGGGATGGGGCTGGGCTCCTCCTCAAAGCCCAGAGGCCATCACGACCCCCTTGTCCCAGAAACAGACTAGTTTCTGAAAGTTTCTTGGTCTCAGCCCACCTACTAGTTCCCACCTCGAGTTCAGATTCTAGGCCCAAGGTCTACCTTCTGGACCAATCAGGCTGCCTGAAGCCATTCTGGTCCTCTCGGATCCTCCTGCCTACCCGGCCTGCTAGCACAGGGGAGCTGAGGTTGTCCAAGATGCCTGCTGCTCTGGCACTCCCCGCATCTGCTTCCCAGGTTAAAGGTCATCAGGCTCCAGCCCTTAGACCTCCAGCTGTAAGATCAGTCCTTCTACCCCTCCCCCAGCACCTTTGGCCCAAAGCTTCCCAGAGCACTTTGCCCTGGTGGGTGAGTTTCCAGAGGAGAAGCCTGGAGACAACCATAGGAAGTGTGAGGAAGGTCAGGCAGGGGTGGCCAGCCTGGGAGACTAAGTCTGCTCTGCTCAGGACTTCAGGAGAAACTCTAGTGACAGTAGCCTTGGCCAGGCCCAGGCTGGGCTACAAGGCTTCAGGGCAGACAGGAAGGAGCTGGAACCAGTACAGGAGAGATAAAGCCATGACCAAGTACCCAGCCGGCCTAGGTACTCTACCCTTTCTAGGTCTTCTTTTGTTTCTCATGGCCCAAAGGGGCCACCACACCCCCCTCAGAACCCAACACGTGCTACATCTGCCACCCCTACCAACCAGTTTCTCCTGTCCAGAGGAGACCAGCAGCCTTCACCCCTCCCCTCGGGGCTCCCCACAGAACAGCACAGGGTGCATACAAGTCAGATCCAGACACTTCCTCCCATGGCTCCCTACTGGTATCAGAAAGATTCCGATCCCGTCCATGAGGTCCCTGCAGGGTCTGGCCCACCCACTTCTCCCCTCACTCTCTTTACAGTAGCCACATAGTCCTGCCTCCGTGGCTGCTGTCCTTCACCCTGGATGGGCCCCGCCCCCATCCAGGCACTGCACCTACACACCACTACCCTGCCTCCCGGGGGAGCCCAGAGCTCCCAGCGCTGTCCTAGGGCGGGGACCGCGCTGCTGGCTCTGCTCTGGCTCCAGCCGTGCCGGCGCCCGAGGCATGTTTGCGAGGTGACCGACCCAAGACTGGGCCTGGCCGGCTTTGACTCAGGAGGCCGCTCTCCTGGGAGAGGACGGGGCAGGGACCTCTTTCCGAGGCCCCCGCACAAGGTCCCAGGTCCGCTAGGTGCAGCGGGTCCCCACCAGGGTCGCAGCGGCAGTGCCGGCGATGGGCGCTGCCACCGGACACTCATTTGAGGCCGAGAGGAGGGTCCAGCTAGGGCCACCAGCACCCAGGGCCTCCTCGCCCTCCGGTGCCACGCCAGCGTCCTCGACCCTTGGCCCTGAGCCCCCACTGCCTGACCCAGGGCTGCCCGACCCTTGACCTCGAGCCAGAGGGACGTGGCTCTGGGCCAATGGACGCCCGCACTGGCACTCACCTGGAGGCTCTGGAAGTCCTGCTGCAGCTCCTCCCAGTCCCGCAGGCAGTCGCCTAACGGGCCCGGGACCTGGGGGTGCATGGCTGCCGGGCCACACGCCGGACAAGCCGAGTCTTGGGACCTCGCCGCAACCCCAGCCCGCCCGAGGCGCCTCAGCCGCCTCCGCCGCCGCCCCCGTCCGCTTCCGGGCTCGCGCCGCCAAGACCACCAATGGGAAAAGGCCTGAAGCTACCAGAGCGCTAGCCCCGCCCCCTGCCTGAGCCAATCCGAGCCCTGGGCGGGGCGGGGGCGGGGCCACGTGTGCTGGGGCGCTCTCCCCGCCGCTCGCAGCTCACAGCCCATCCTGGGGCTGGCGCGCGCCGGGGTCGCCGGCTCCAGCTCAGGCTCCACGGGATCATGCCAGCCCCGTGCTAGCCCCGCAGAGCTCCGCCCGGTCACGCTGACAGTAAACTGAAGCCCACGGGGGTGACCCCTGCCTCAAACACTTTCGTCCTTGGGAAAGCAGCACCTCTGCAGGAAGAGGATTCCAAGCCTCTTTTCTATCTTGGATTTTTTTACAGCGGCAGCCTTACGGTCTCCCAGCCTCCAGACTCACCGCTACTGTCCTTGCAGGAGCCACCAGACTGCCCGTCCTAACACACAAGGCTAATCCCCACCAGGTCCCCAAAGAAAACGTGCCAGCGACTCTGCCCTTCCTGCCAGGAGGTCCCTAACCCACAGAGCCATTGTTTGCAGCCTTCCCAAACTCTGTTCCAGTTCCTAGCCCAACGGATTTCAGGCCTGAGCTGGCTGGAAAGCCCTTATCCGTCGGGCAAAACCCCACTCCTTGAGGGCTTGGGCTTCCGTTGGGGAGGACAATTTCACCCTTCTGCAAAGAGTCCTGGAAGGTGAGATGGCCTTCACCTCTAGGTCCCTCCCCAGCCGCACGTGGGTGGCAGAGAATGTTTGCTGACCGAACAGGGGCAGACATCCCAAGTTCCCTGTCAGTCCCATCGTCTGTGCCATCTCCTGACTTGTGCTGTGGGTGCTTCCAGGGCTTGGAAGCACATTCCGAAGAAAATCCCCCTAAGGCCTGAGGAATTTCTAGAAGCATGGGTGTGGGAGATAGGAGGGGTGGAAATCTCTTCTTGGGGAAGCCAGCCAGGAGGAAACGAGTGGGGGGAGAAGGAAAGGAACTCTGAAGAAGCCATCAGACTGGCTGGGGAGTTCTAGGACCAGGGATGAGGCAACGGTGTGCCCCATGCCAGAAACCTGTCAGAACTGTGGAGACTGACACCTGGGCTAAGGCTGGGCCTGGCATCTCTGGAGCTGGGGGGGCGGGGGTGGATCTCTGCCCATAGGTGGGCACTGTGACACCCCTGTGGACCAACGTAAGGCAGTTCCCCTGGAACTCCTCCCAGATAGCCTCCAAAGGGTCCAAGTCACCGGGGCATGTGGGATAGCTGTTCAGACAGCCAAATGCTTTTCCAGAGGCAGCCTCAGGAGTGCAGGAAGGGTGTCCAGGATGACCCAGGGATGGGAGGATTCCTGCTGAGTCTTGCCTGCTCTGTGGCATGAAGGAGGAGCCGGAGAAGAACCACTACAGGAGGCTGCTACATGACTTCAGGCAGCAAAGGCCTTCTCTTTCCACACCAACCTGGTTACACATCCTGGCCCAGTACCCACAAGAAGCCCCCAAGCGAGGTTCTTCGGGACCCATAGCTGGGCCACAGAGGAGATCAGTAGAGTGGATCCAAGATGTCTGTGACACGGTCTCCGAGGACGACCTTCTCCCACTCTGACAGCTGAGCCACCAAGCCCCGGTTTGGACGCATGTTGGTTTTACACTTCTTGACGTAGGCCCAGGACTTCTGTCAATGCAAGGAGAGAAAGCAGACCTCAGGGACTGGACCTGAGCCCTTCCACCTCTATCACAGCCAGCTCAGGAGGGACAGGAGGCACCTGCCCGTGGGCCAGCAACACGGCTTAATGGCTGGACACAGAAGCAGCAGCAGCCTGGAGTTAATACATCAGGGCAAGGAGTCATAGGAGCTGGCCCTGCTTTGAGCAGGCACCTCTGCGCATCTGCTGCTGGATATGGAGGCAGAGATCATTCTTAGTTCAGACGGCTCCTGTGAAGGCTGAGACAACATGGGTGAAAGCTTCTGTGGGCAGGAGAGTACCATGCCCATGCCCGGCACACAGTGCAGCCCCAACAAAGGTTGGCATTGTGAACGGCTAAATGAATGGAAAGGGGAAGGGAACTGTGGGGAAATTCTCTGAAGAAGGGAACTTGCAACTGCTTTCCTTCAGGTGTCCACCTTAAAATGAAGGAAGGGTCATTACCCGAAGGAAGAGGACAAACTGGTCTCTATCTGGGTTGAGGACAGAGGAAAAAGGAAAAATGGGCCTCAGCAAACTAGGAACCGAAAAAACATACCTCAACATAATAAAGGCCATATAGGACAAGCCCACGGGTAATATCATACTCAACGGTGAAAGACTGAAAGCTTTTCCTCTAAGATCAGGAACAAGACAAGGATGCCAGCTTGCACCACCTCTATTCCACATTGCACTAGAGGTCCTAACCAGAGAGAGGAAGGGAGGGAGGGAGGAAAGAAGGAAGGAAGGAAGGGACACCCAAATTGGAAAGGAAGAAGTAAAATTACCTCTGTTTGCAGGTGACATGATTTGATGTGTAGAAAACCTTAAAGATTACACCAAAAAATCTGTTAGAATAAATGAATTTAGCAAAGTTGCAAAATTACAAAACCAACACTCAAAATTAGTTGTGTATCTATGCACTAACAACAAATGATCTCAAAAGTAAACTAAAAACAAAATTCCATTTACAGTGGCATCAAAAGGAATAAATACTTAGGAATAAACTTAACCAAGGGGGCGAAAGACCTGTAACCTAAAAATAATAAAACATGCTGTAAGGTATTTTAAAAGACACAGATGGGGCGCCTGGGTGGTTCAGTTGGTTAGGCGTCAGACTTTGGTTCAGGTCATGATCTCGCAGTTTGTGGGTTCAAGCCCTGCATTGGGCTCTGTGCTGACAGCTCAGAGCCTGGAGCCTGCTTTCGATTCTGTCTCCTCTCTCTTTGCCCCTCCCCCGCTCATGCTCGGGGTCTCTCTCTCTCTCTCTCTCTCAAAAATAAATAAACATTAAAAAAAATGAAAAGACACAAATAAATGGAAAGACAGCCCGTTCACATGGACAGGAAGCCTGGATACTGTTAAGATGTCAGTACTACCCAAAGTGATGTATAGATTTAATACAACCTCTACCAAATCCCAACAGCATTTCGTGCAGAAATTGAAAAGCCCATCCTATAATTCTTATAGAATCTCAAGGGACCCCCACATAGCCAAAACAGTCTTGAAAGAAAGAGAACAGCACTGGAATTCTCATATTCCCTGATTTCAAATCTCTGAAGCTATTACAAAACTATAGTAATCAAAAACAGCATAGTAGTGGGATAGACATTTAAGCCAAAGGAATAGGATAGACAGCCCAGAAATAAGCCCTTGTATATGTGGCCAAATGGTTTCAAGGAGGGTGCCAAAACCATTCAATGGAGAAAGCGCAAGGGGTGCTGGGAAAACTGGATACCCACATGCAAAAGAGTCAAGTTGAACACTTAACCTTACATCATATACAAAAATTAACTCAAAAACGATTGAAGACCTAAGTGTGAGAGCTTACACTACAAAAATCTTAGAAGAAAACATAGGAGAAAAACTTCGTAACACTGGATTTGGCAATGATTTCTTGGATAGGATACCAAAAGTACAGGGGATTAAAAATGGACAAATTGGACAAATCAAAAACAAACAAACAAACAGACAAAACAAAACTTCCGTGCATCAAAAGACACAATGAGCAGAGTGAAAAGGCAAGCCACAGTTTGGGAGGGAACATTTTCAAGTGATATATCTGATTGATATCCAGGTGCTAATATGAAGAATATAGAAAGAACTCCTAAAACTCAACAAAAAACCAAACAGCCCAATTGAAACGTAAGCAAAAAACTTGAATAGACATTTTCCAAAGAAGATACGTGAATGGTCAATAAGCACATGAAAATACTTGCTCGACATCACCAATCAGTAGGGAAATGCAAATCAAAACTATAGTAAGATAATGCCTCACTCCTATTAAGATGGTTATAATATTAAAAGAAAAACAACAAAAAACAACAACAAGCATTGGTGAGGATGTGGAGAAAAGGGAATCCTCGTGTACTGTTGGTGGGAATGTAAAATGGTACAGCCATGGTGGAAAAACAGTATGGAGATTCCTCAAAAAATTAAAAACAGAGATACCATATGATCCAGCTATACACCCCAAAGAATTGAAAACAGGGTCTTGAAAGAGATATTTGTACACCCATATTCGTAGCATCATTATTCACAATACCTCAAACACGGAGGCAACCCAAGTGTCCATCAACGGATGAATGGAAAAACAAAATGTGGCATATATACACAATGGAATGTTATTCTATCTTTAAAAAGAAGGAAATTCTTGGGGCACCTCGGTGGCTCAGTCGGTTGGGCGTCCGACTTCGGCTCAGGTCATGATCTCGCAGTTTGTGGGTTTGAGCCCTGCGTCAGGCTCTGTGCTGACAGCTCGGAGCCTGGAGCCTGCTTTGGATTCTGTGTCTGTGTCTCCCCTTCTCTCTCTGTCCCTTCCCTGCTCATTCTCTGCCTCTCTCTCTCAAAAACAAATAAACATTAAAAAAAATGTTTTTAAAGAAGGAAATTCTGACACGCTACAACATGATGAACCTTGAGGACATCGTGAGAAGTAAAATAAGCCAGTCAACAAAAGAAAAAATACTGTGTGATCTACTGATATGAGGTAACTAGCAGAGTTAAAGTCATAGAGACAGGAAATAGAATGATGGTTGCCGGGCTTGGGGGGAGGGGAGAATGGGGAATTACTGTGTAATAGAGCTTAAAAGAGTTTCAGCTTTACAAGATAAAAACAGTTATGGGGATGGATGATGGTAATGGCTGTACAACACTAGAAAGTATTTAAAGATTTAAAAAATTTTTATTTGAGAGAGAGAGAGAGAGAGAGAGCCCAGGTGGGGAAGAGGGACAGAGGGAGAGAGAATCATAAGCAGTCTCCACCCTTAGCACAGAGCCCAACACAGGGCTCAATCCCATGACCCTGGGATCATGACCTGAGCCAAAATCAAGAGTTGGACACTCAACCGACCAAGCCACCCAGATGCCCCTAGAAAGTATTTAATACCACTGGACTGTACACTTTTTCAAAATGGTTAAGATGCACATAAGTAAATAAATGGTTAAGATGATAGGTGTTACATTATGTGTATTTTAACACAATAAAAAGAAAAAAACTGCAACGAGATATCACCTTACACCCATTAGGATGGCTACTATTTAAACAACAACAACAACAACAGAAAATAAGAAGTGTGAGTGAGGATGTGGAGAATCTGGAAACCTGGCACACCATTGGTGGGAATGTAAAATGGTGCAGCCGCTGTGGAAAACAGTACAGTGATTACTCAAAAAAGTAAAAATAGAATTACCATACGATCCAGCCATTCCACTCTGGGTGTACACCCAAAATAACCAAAAGCAGGTGGTCAGTGGGGCTTGTGTTTATGGGTTCAACAGGACAGTAGCAAACAAAGAAATAGTTCTTAACTGGCTATCATCCCAGTGGCTCAGTGTAAAAGGAGCAGACAGAAATGCCTATGTTCCCATCTTCCCCTGCAACGGGTATATTTGCATACTGTTTAAGCTGCTGCCTGAAGGTCAGGCTTCCAATCAGCCCGAATCTAGATGCAGACTAAGATCCTCCCCTGGACCCCTGACAGGTCTTGGCACACCCTCAACTATGGGGAGCCACTAAGAACAAAGCAAGCTGCTTTGACAATCAAAAAGGTGTGAGAGACAACCAAGAAATAGGGAAGGGTTGAACAATAAGGTTCATTTCCTACACCAGGCCATTCCTTCAAGACTGGGAGAGGTGGCTGTTTTCCCCACTGCATAGAAACCAACAGAGTCAAGGAAAATGAAAAAAACAAACAGAGGAATACATTCCAAATGATTGATATCCAGGTGCTAATATGAAGAATATAGAAAGAGCTCCTAAAACTCAACAAAAAAAAAACACCCCAATTGAAACATAAGCAAAAAACTTGAATAGACATTTCCCCAAAGAAGATACATGAATTGTCAATAAGCACATGAAACTATTTGCTCACAAGATAAATCTCACAAAACAAGATAAAACCTCACAAAAACATCCTCATGAAATGGGGATAAGTGATTTACCTGATAAAGAGTTGATGTCATAAAGACGCTCACCAAGGTTCTCCTGAATCCCCTTGGTGGGAATTCCAGCTAAGAGACAGAAAACATAAGAAAGTACCAAACAGAAATCACAGAGCTGCGGGATACAATAACTAAACTGAAAAAGTACAACTAAAGGATTCAACTGCAGACTACATGAAGTGGAAGAAAGGATCTGTGGACTCAAAGACAGTGCAGTGGAGTGCATCCAATCAAAGCAGCAACAGAAGAAGAAGGAGAAGGAGAAGGAGAAGGAGAAGGAGAAGGA